CCCAGGCTCGTCTGCACTGAGCCGCCGCGCGGGGCGAGCGCTGAAGCCCAAGGGAGGACTCGGCGGGCGCCGTGCGGGCGGGATCCTGGGGCGGTTTACCAAGCCCTGCTTCTGTGGTTTCTGCATCTGTCAAGATGTCACTCAGCCTGGACACGCAGTCGTGACTGTGAGTGGCATTCCGGGACGAGCGGCCTTTCAGCCACGTCACAACGTGGACGTGGGGCCTCCATCTCGTAAGGGGACATGACGCATCTCTGGGGGGAGCCACCACGGCATCCTGTGGGGAGACTGTGGGGAGCCCGGTGGCGGCGCGGACAGGGCTGTTACCTCTGATGGAGCTGCCTCCGTTGTCCCCAGGCAGCCACGAGAGGGTGATGGAGGAAGACGTGGTTTTGGACACGGTGAGCCGAGGCTGATCAGGCGGGACTGGGAAGAAACAGGTTTTAGAAAACAAGAATTAGTTTTCCACGGCTTTAATCTTCCTTAGCAGTCATTTATCACATCATTTTTAACAGCCATTTATTAAATGCGTGTTTTAGATTGCCAAAATATGCAGTTCCCTTCTGTCAAAATGTCTGCTTAGTTGATATCCCGGGCTAAAGAGATAGAAGAGAATGAATCTATTATTTCCAGAAGACGTAAGCACATTTCCACCTGCATGTGCAGCTACCTCGTTTCCGCACGGCGTCCTCGGCGTCCTCAGCTGCTCGCCACTAACTGAAATCTTTCAAGCCCCTAGAGGCACATGCATTATGCTACCCCGCATTTCAGCTCTGATTCAAACGAGGAAGAGAAATGGTTGCACTTGGCCATTTTGTTCTCAAGGCGGCAAAAGCGGCAGCAGGAGGGAGCTGGTGGGAAGAGGAGCTGCGGAAAGGCCCCCCGAAGCTGCTGTCCCAGCTGCCACGCACCAGCACACACCGAGCACACACGTGTGCACACGCTCACCATGCACACACAGCACACACAGCGCACACGCGCGCACACTCGTGCACCCACGCAGCCCTACAGGCCAAAGGCCGGCCGGAGGCGGCCCTGCGAGGCTGAGGAATTGGAACACCTGCTCCTCTAACCGATGGGCCTGAATGTCATTCGGGGTTAGCGCCGGAGACAGAAACGCTGCAGAGATTAAAACTCAGGCTCTGGGAAGTCTGCAGAGATTCCGCACGCTGGCCTTCTCGGACACAGCGGCCGAGGCCCCGCAAAGGCGCCCATCTCTTCAGCGCGTCTTCTGCATTAGTTTTCAAGATGTGGTTCTTCTCCTCCCCTCTTCTCCCACAGAGGAGAGAGACATAAAATACAGAGTATGTGATTGATCACCTGACAGCACTCCCACCCAAGAAAGCACACGCTTTGATCTTTCTGCAAACGCAGCCCGCAGGTGCGTGCTTCCAGCCTGCAGAGGCCATTGATTTCACAGACCATTTTAATTTGCAGATCTTGAATTTGTTGTCCACGATTGTGTGGGATATCGGGAATAAGTTAGCTAGACGCTAATTTATGACCATTTTTAACCATCTGTAGCCCCTTCTCATACATGGCGTGCAAGAATTTAGCTCACTGGCAGACACCAACGTCCTCAATTCTAATTTATTTTTGTGTTTCTGGGCTACCTTTGCGGGGGGCAGAGCAGGCCCTGGTGTGGAAGGCGCCGTCCGAGCTGCCGAGGGAGGCGGTGGCTCTGTGTGCTTGGTGTTATGTCCAGGACTAAGAATATTTTCTGTTTTTCTTTCGTTCTTTTTTCTTAAGATTTATTTTTATTATTTTTTAAGATTTATTTACTGATGCATACAGAACTGGGTACAGGCTAGAGGTGGGTGGTGAGAGGCCTCCCCAGAGACAGAGTGGGGAGCAGAACAGGCAGGTTGACGGAAACCCACTGCTGCGGGGAGCAGCGAGGAGACGGGGTGGGGTGGGGGGTCTGCTGTGCCCTGGGGGTCACCGCTGGGGCCGGGGATTGAATTCGCAGTGAAGAGGCAGCTCCAGCCTGCAGGGCTGCACCCCAACCCGCTGTGCCACCAGGGAGGGCCCGCTTTTTAATTTTTCTTTGAGTTGTGCAGTGGTGTTTCCCGACGCGAGCACCTCTGTTTTGTGACGTGAGTGGCCGCTAGCCAGCTCTTCCTGAAGACCGAGTGCTTACGCCTGGGAGGCGCACGCGCAGCGAGGGGAAGCCCACGCGGTACCTTGGACTTGCAGGTTCAGGATGATCTCGTCCGAGCCCCAGTTGTTGTTGGCCACGCAGCTGTAGTAGCCGGAGTCTTCCGCCTTCACCGTGCGGATGATGAAGCTGCCGTTGCTGAAGACGCCCCTCCGCCCGTCAATCGTCACGAGGCTGGGCGTCCCGTTACTGCCTCACAGGAAGAAAAGGGCGCAGATTAAAGAAGTTACAATCCACATTGGCTGAGGTTGGAGAGAAGCGTGAAGCCCGGACACTGCGGCGCGTCGGTGACGTGTCAGGTCACAGCGACACGCGGCGCGGGGTGGGGGGCGGTGCCCGGCCCTGGCCCTGCGTGAACACCGGTCCTCGCCCCCTGGGGGCGTCACGCCTTGCCAGCCCAGGGTGTCCCCTTTGCTCTGTGGCAGATCTGGGGATCCCTTCTGTGGGCAAAGTGCCTTTCTGACCATTTCACACTGGGGACAACTGCAAAGCGAGGGTCCTGTGGACACTCACTTGAGGTCCCAGTGGCCGTGGTTTTGACATCAGACATGCCTGTGGCTTCTCGGGAGGGAGGTGAGTTGCCCCCACTGTAAACAGGGTGTCCGGCTGCCCCACAAGCCCAGGCTCTGGGGGACAGCCCCTCGCTGGGGCTGCCCCCATATCAGGCGGACTGACCTAGGCAGCTCACCCAGTGTCGTGGCTGAAGCAACTTTACAAAGGATGGGCAGCAGTGAATGTCTCTAGGGGCTTTGCTGGAAGACTAGGGGCTCTCCTGGTCCCCTGTATGAATCTCCGAACTCCCTGTTCACCGGCTAATGTCTCTCTCTGAATAGAGATGAAACACTTTTAAAAAGTTCCATGGAGAATCAACCCAAAGGCCCAAAAGCAGATGATTGGGTTAAAAAGATGTGGTCCATATACACCATGGAATATTACTCAGCCATCAAAAAGATAAACACCTGCCTTTTGCAGCAACATGGATGGAGCTGGAAGGGATCATGCTTAGTGACATAAGCCAGAAAGAAAAGGAAAAATACCGGATGGCTTCATCACAGCAGGAGCATAGAGGACCAGGGGGAAAATAATAATCATAATAATGAACAATTATATATACCCAGACATTTTATGGGGTGGAGTGGCAAATGGGGTCAAAAACGGGGATCAAACCCATGGTGGTGGCACACGGGTGATTTGGTGATGGGAAGCCCACGGGGATGACAACAGAAGTGGAAAAGGCACAAAATGATGTAAAAATAAAGTATTATAATAGGAAGAAAATAGAAAAACAGTTCCAAGGACAGAACACATCCCCTGCGCTCCTTTCTCTCTCACGACGACCGAGGACGTAAACCAGATTATCCCTCAGCCGAGCGTAAGGAGCCCCGTTTCTCAGTTACGTCCCGGCATGTGAGCTGGGGGGCGCTGGGCTCGTGTCTGGGAGCCAAGCCAGAGCCTCACGCAGCGGGGTCCAACGGGGGGCCGGCGGCTCGGGCAGGCTGCGGGCGCCTCCCGGGCAGCCAGCCCCTGGGCCCTAGCGCGGCGCACTGCGCCAGGTCAGGTCGCACTGGTGCGGGCAGGCCGGCCCGTCTGTCCCTGCATCACGCCTGCGGGACGGCCCCCGCCCGTCACCAGGGCCTCGTCCCCTGGCGCGTCTCGGGCTCGCTGCGGCACATCGGGTTACTGGTTACCTGTCTTTCATCCACTTGACCGCAGGAGATGGGTCCCCGACGGCCTTGCAGGGCAGGGCGATGTCCTTCATCCACGGGGTGGTCACCGTGCCGCTGAAGGTCAGGATGCGGGCGGGGGCTGCGCAGCACACAGCACAGGCCTGTTACTCCCCCGATGGGCCCCACGGGGCCCCGGGACACGCGTGCGCCCCACGGCTCGGCGCGAAGGCGGGTGGAGGGGCGCTCCCTGCGGGCCACCCCACGGCTGAATCCTCTGCGCTCGGCTTCCTCGTCGGCCACACCGAGTGGCCACATCAAACCTCCGGGCCCTGAAAGCCGGCTATGGCTTGTGTGAACGCGGGTGTTTCCCAGGGCACTTTATTAAGCCATTTACCCCAACACCCCAAACTGCGCGTGAAAACAGACTTCGTGACTAACCAGTAGCATACATCAAGCCCTACGAGTCGGGAGGAAGTAAAATTGGAACGACTCTAGTTCTCTACGTTGGGGTTCTTCCTTAACTTACACCCCTGGGCCTCGGGCGCAGATGTCGGATAGGGGCGTCTCACGGAGACAGGACACCTGCTTGGGCAGGGACTCGGGCCTGACAGGGGTGCAGGCCAGGGCATCTGGTCCTGGCACAGCCCAAAGCAGCGGGGGGTCCAGGAGAGAGAGGGGACAGTCCGGGCGGACCTATCGCCCGGGGTCTGCTTGAGGACCAGTGGGCAAAGCAGGGACAGGTGCCGGGGTCCCCTTCTTGGGTGAGATGCACAAGCTGACCAACACCCCAGGAAGCGAGAAGCGCAGCGGCGGCCTGTCTGACCTGCGCCATCCACTGGACACAGGTGGGGCTGCGGGCGCAAGGCCCGTCTGATTCTGGACACGTCAGGTGGGGGCAGCCCTGGGTCTGGCCACTTCAGGACCTGAACTGGCAAACAGCTGTGGGTGCAGCTCCTCGGAAGGCCGCGGACTCCGGGAACCGTGGGGCTCCTGGAGCCCCGCTCTGCGGTGCCTGTGCCGGGCATGGGGTAAACGCAGGGAGAGAGGGGCCGGGAGCGCCAGCTCTGGCGACATGCTCTGGGAGGCCACGGGCCTGCCGTTTAGGCTATCGCGGGGTCCCCACTTACTGCGCGAACCCCATTTGCCTAAGATCTGCTGCCGGGACCTGATGCGGGAAGCGAATTCCCCAAGTGAGGAGGCCCCGGAACGCTCCCTCCTCGGGCTCCCCTAGACGGCTCCCAGCGGCCTTCGACAGGCGGGGGCCCGCCGGGCAGGGGCCCCTCTGTGCCCCAGACGTGAGCCAGTCCACTGTGACGCGAGCTGCCCGCGGGGGCTGGCTTCGGTGCTTCGCCAATTTCCACTTCAAGCTTCCACCGTCCTCCCCATTGCCCGGTGAACCCAGAGCGGGGTGACCCGGGGCCCAGCTGCCCACCGCAAGAAACGCATTTCGCATGGGAAGCGGAGCTGCCCGCGTGCTCAGGCGCTGGGCGTGTGGGGGACACGGCCGCGGGTGAGCCGGCCGCGGGTGAGCGTGGGGCCGCACTGCTCCCACACCTCGGGCAGTCGGGCTGGACTCAGCTCCTTCCGCCCTATCTCATTTTATTTAGTTCTGTTTTTGTAAGGTATTGATTTATGCACACAGAACTGGGGTACAGGCCATAGGTGTGGGGGTGGTGACAGCATTCCCCAGAGACAGAGTGGGGAGCAGAAAAGGCGGGCTGATTAAAACACGCTGCTGAGGAGAGCAGCAGGCGGGACAGGAGGGGTCTGCAGGAGGGGTCTGCCGCGCCCTGGGGTCCCCCCCATGCCGGGGATGGGACCGTGCTGCAGTGGCCGCGGCCAGCTTCATAGTGAAGCGCTTAACCCGCTGCGCCACCAGGGAGGCCCTTTATTTAGGCCTTCACCAGGCAAGCAGTAACCCTAGGGGTTCACTGGTCTCAGGTTGATGATAGCCCTCGGCATCCTGAGGGGCAGCGGCTGACACCCCCCTCCACGCCCGACACCCCATTTGTGGCGCGAGGGCCACGTGGCCCCAGGGACTGATGGCCTAAGGCCGATATTCCAAGCCGGAGCCGCAGGCCCGTGGTCCCGGCTCTCAGCCCGGACCAGGCTCGAGGACCCCGGAGTGTGCACGGGGCCAGTGGGCTCTGGCGGGCTGGGGAGTCTGCGCGGCACCTCCCGCCCCTCTCAGAACTGCAGCCGCCTGCCACCGCGGCCCTGTTCAGGCTCAGCACCGTGGCCCTGCTGTCGGGCTCCCTGCCCCGGGGTGGCCTCCTCAGGCCGGGCTGGCTCCACCTCACCGAGGCAGCGAGCACCCTCCTCTGGACCCCGCTGCCCGGATGGACCTGTCGCGCGGCCAGCCTGCACCCCGCCAGCCTCGGGCATTGCCCAGCTCAGGGCCCCCTGGAAAACGCACGACCGGCCCCGAGCCTGGGGAGCCCCGCTTGAGCACGGGAAGCTGAACGCTTCTGAGAAAGTCCGCAGGGTGGACAAGGGGACCGCGCCCGGCCCCTCTCCCGGCGCCGGCCTCCTGCCTGGCCGGGGCGCGGTCTCCCCGGGCAGGGGCCGGCGGCCGCACACCTTTCGCCAGCGGCTCCACCGTGATGATTTCGCTGCTGTTGCCGCTCCCTGCCGAGGTCACGGCCACCACCCAGACGCTGTACTGGCGATTCCGACTCAGGTTAGGAATTCTGTAGGAAAATGAGTCAGGAGAGGCTTCAAACTCGCTGATCACCTGTGAGAGGAGACATAAATGTTCCCACATTCAAGGAGGCAAACGGCACAGGCGGTCGTCCCGGGGAGGGGCCGCTGGCGCCCGCCTCCCGGCCCACGGGGGGCTGGCTGGCGGCAAGAGCACCCCACTGGGCGCAGCCCTGGCCTCCCCCACTCTAGAGAGCTGGGGCAGCCAGCGAGGCGGCCCTCCACCAAGGGGGGCGGGGTGACCTGTGGCCCGGGTCACCCTCCCGCCAAGAGCCAGGGAGTCCAGGGCTTGGCTGTGATGGCCGGTTTACCGGTCCTTCGTCCACTTATTTTGAGGCGCCCCCTAGAGCGATCCACAGTGGGAAGGGAGCCAGAGCAGAGCAGACAGTCAGCGCAGTGGGCACACAGTATTTGGGCCCAGGGGTGTCCAGCCCACGCCCACGGGCTGTCTCTCAGACACCCCAGGGCACCGCGCTTTCTGGATGTGTGAGCCCCACCCTTAACGCCTTGGGGCGGTGGGTCGTGGGTCGCCCCCCGAAGCTGCCACGGCACTGAAACGCAGCGTGCTCGGTCACTGGTCAGCACTGCGTCTGACGGACGCAGGCGCGGTGGGTGCTGAGTCCTTTGCCCTCAGGATGGCACGGGGCGGGGTGGCCCCTGGAGGCTCTCGTCCACCTGGGCCCAAGCGCTGCCAGGCCATGGTGTGTGGGTGCCTCCGAGCCCTGCAGGTTTAAGGGGTGGGAGTGGTTCCATGCTCTTGGGTTTCTAGGCAGGTCGCAGGGAGGAGCCCAGGGGCGACCGGCAGCGCCGAGGGGCTGCGAGAGAGCGGGGCGTCACGGGGCACAGCGGCAGAAAGGGGGGGGGCTGCGCACGGAGAGCCCGGGGACACGGGGTCCCGCCGAAGGGCCGGGTCCAGCCGAGCCCATCTGTGCCAGGGCAGGGGACTCGGGAGGCCGCAGCAGAGGACAGGAGGCCCCGGGCGGGCGCTCGGGGCGGGGCGCAGCCACAGGGCCTCTCCTCGGGGTGGGGGTTGGCCCCACACTGCCCACCACGCCGGCACGGCCTGCGGCGTCAAGCGCGAGCTCTCAGAACGGCTTGGTAAAAATCAGCCTGAACCAAATAACGGCGCTTTGCTTCCCAGGACCTCAAGCATTGTGACAGCAACCACAGCGGCCATGTCCAGCCGGCCGACATTCACAGCGCTCGCTAGTCCATAAACGTTTCCCCGTGAGCGGCTGAATTATGAGCAGACATGGGCTGTCCTCGGCGGAGTCGACAGCAGCCCGGAGGGGCGGCCGCAGGCTGGGGACGCGGATGAACTCTGAGAGTGGAGTGAGAGGTCGGGCGCAGGGCAGTGCAATTCCCCTGAATGAAATGGCCGGAAAAGGTGACCAGAGGCCGGAAGCGGCTCAGCCGCCGCCGGGGTGGGGGAGGGACCGTGAGGTGCAGGGTGTCTCTGGGGGTGATGACTGCCGAGCGGGTCGTGGTGGCTGCCCACGCTGTGCGGACGCCCACAGGCCCCGCGTGGCACCTGCACATGTGGGTTTCACGAGATGTGAATGAGACTTTGCCAACTGTTATAGAAACTCCCAGAGGCAGGAAAACACGATGCGTAGAGAAAATACGGTCAGTTCACCAAACTCCCCCGTCACCGGGCCAGATATCGGCGGCAGGACAAGGGCCCCGCCAGCTGTGTTCTGGCTTACGGCGTGTTCTGGCTGGGGGCGTGAACGCAGTAGCTGCGTGAGTGAGAGCAAAGACCCGCTCACGCGCTGACCTGCGCGGGTGCTGACCTGCGCGGGTGAGAGGAAGCGGCGCGCTGCGTCTGAGCCACAGCAGGCTGCGTGGTGCACAAAAGCGGCCAGCGGCCAGCGGGCCCCTCAGCAGGCGAGGGGGGACAGGGAGCGGGAGGCAGGGCGACACCCGCAGCGGAACGTGTGTGCGGAGCTGGGAAAGGGGGAGCAGGACACAGGAAATCCAACGCCCGAAGAAATCGTGCCTGACGGTTTCCTCAGCTTGGCGACAACGGTAAACCCCGAGAGCTGAGAATCTCAGGGATCCCCCGCCACAGACACAGGAAGGATCTACAGGGAGCCACATCACAATCACATTGCTCAAAGCCAGTGAGGGGAAACGCCAGTGGCCACTGCAGGAGGAGAAGCCAGGGAGCAGGGACGAAGGCGAGGGTGTCCGCAGGTGCTGCTGCGGAGTGCCGCTCACCCCCAAGGCCGCCCCAGTGGGGGTGTTAGGAGGTCACCATGGCGCTCGGACGTGAGGCCCGAGAGGGCGCTCCTGTGCTCTCCAACGACGAGAGGACCCGTCACCAGGACGGCGGCCCCCTGGTCTCGGCCCGGCTCCAGAGTGGCCAGGAGCAGCCTCCGTGGCCACGGGCGCCCAGTCGGGTCTGTTACGGCGGCTGGGACTGACCGAGACGCCCCAAGGTGCAGAGGAAGTACTTCTCAAGGTACGGAAAGCCAAAGGAAACCTAGCGTCTGTACCCAGAAAGCACTGCGACATGAAGGAGAGACAAAGACTTTTTGAGACGTGTCACAGCTGCAAGTCTCCACAGACCCACAGTACAAGGTGGCCACGGTCAATCCCCGCAGCAGGAGCAGAGAGCAGCAGGCAGGCCCTCGCGCGCCGGAAGGTGCTCGGGCTCCCGCACCCAGGCGTCCAGGTACGCTTTTCTGATATTTACGGCTCGATGACAGGTGAGTAGCAGACGAGAACGGGTAGGGTTTCTAATACTCATATATATTTCTAGTATATATATACATTGATGACAGTATCTGCAAAGGTTGGCAAGGGGGGAAATGGAAATCTATTGTTGCCAGCTTCTCATACTACGCGAGAAGCGTATAATGTCTCGAGAGCAAAATGCAGTAAGTTAGAGGTAAATCTATTCATCTGTTTTAAAAGTCACTGAAATTTCAAAGTAAAATACAGCTAGTGTGCCTGCCAAAAGATAAATGGAATCATAAAGCATGCCCAACTGATCCAGAGAAGGCGGAAGAGATCAACGGGACGCCAGAGGCCACTGTAATGACGAGCGGCTACATCGGGGCGCGCAGGCGTGGGCCGGGGTGACGCCGGTGGTGAAGTGCCCCAGAGCCGACTCAGGCGAGAGGCCTCGCTAGCCTGGGCGTGGGGGCCGCCTGACGGCACGTTCCCCACGTTAGGGAACGGGGCTCCTTAGCTGTGTCCCCTACACCCCAGCCTCCCGGGGCCGCCTGCACTGCAGAGAGCACTCTGCAGAGATCACGTCCGGTCCTGTGGCACGCGCCTGCACGGGCGTTTAGCTCATAGCCGAGGCACGAGGGATTCGCAGCACTAGCACAGGGCTGCAGTCAAGGCGCCACGGACGGGGTCTCGCCCCCCGCAGCTCACGGCGCTGCCGCTTCAGACTCTGCTTCACTAGGGGTTAACTGAGGCTGGGGGCGGGGGAGGGAGGGAGCCGTCCGGAGTCAGAAGCTCAAAACCGAAGGGCCAAGCAGACGGCCCAGGGGGACAGTAGTGCAGGAGAGCCAGGGATGGTGTGCATAGAGACAAAGAAGACTGAGGAGACAGGCGTGCCCCCGTGCATAAAAGAGGGGCGCCCTGAGGGCAAAGGGGTCCGTTCAACAGAGGGAGGCAGCGATCCTAACACGCGTGCGCTTCGCAGCAAAGTTTCACACCACGTGAAGCGAAGACCGGAGGGACGTCCAGGCCGGACCGAGACCAGCCACAAGCACCCCTCAAAGAAGCGCCTGAGCTAGGCGGGCTGCAGCCGAGGCCTTGGCGGGGGGGGGGGGGGCTGCGCCCCAGCCTGTGCCCCGCCCACCCCACAACTCTCGCGCCAGGGCTGCGGGAGAAAGGGCGGCTGAGAAGGAGCCCTGGCGGGAAAGGGGCCAGCGGGAGCAGCAGCAGAGCAGGAGCTGGGGGCGCCGCCCTGCACCCCTGGAGAAGGAGGGGTGCGAGCCTGGGGCCCGCGCGTCACCTGGGCAGGAAGCTGCCGGGGCCCAAAGGGCTGAGACGCACAGAGTGAGGGGCACCGGGCTCGGACTGTCGAGGGCCAGCTGGGCCTGCGGATCTGGCTTCAGCTGCCTCCACCCGAGGCCTCGGGGCAGGGCCCTACCTCAGAGCCCTGGGCTCTCCCCCGTGCAGCAGACGGCCGTGCACGAGGGCCCGTGTGGCACCCCACGGGGCAGCAGCGTGGCGCCAACCCCTGGAGACACAGCTTTGAATCAGAGGGCCGTTCCTGCACCTCGGACCTAGTCACTCTGGGCGCTGAGACTGGCGTCTGAGATGGACGCCTCGCCCCCTTTACTGCCCATTTCTCCACTCTGGAGTGGATGTTCACCCTTTGCCTTTTGCACGAGCGTATTCTGGAGGCAGCCTCCGGACAAATCAGGCCTCTAGCTCTACCCGGACCTGATTTCGTTGTTACTAGAGGGTCTCCGGGCCGCAGCGGTCAGGACGGATGCTGGCATGGAAGATCCGCAGGGCCGCTGGGGCAAAACGCAGCGTCCTGCATGGGAGGACAGGCGGGCAGTGGATGGAATGTCCATGTCCCCTCTGTCCTCTTATGTTGCAGCCCTGCTCACCCTGATGTCCAGGGGATGGTGCTGGGGGGCGCTTGGGGAGGCGTTTGGGTTCGAAGGGCGGGGTCCTTCTGAGCGAGGCTCGTGTCCGAGGGAGATGGAGAGGCCAGCGTGCTCTCTGCCTCTCTCACGCGCAAGGACCCTCAACAGACAGGTTCTGCCGGCACCTGGGTCCTGCCCTGGCTGGCCTGTGCGTGCGGCGTGTTGCTGGGCAGCCCTGGGGCCAGTGCACGGCCCCGGTGCACGGCCCCGGACCACGGCCCCATACGAGTTCCCGCGCCACCCCCGGCGCCCTTCCCGTAGGCCACGCGCCAGGCCACAGAGCAGGAGCCTGGGCACCGACCCTGGCACCCCGCTGTGAGCGGCTAAGCTGCCCGCGCAGGCATGACTGGCCTCGTCCTGAGCACGAGGCCGTGTCCAAGGCCCTGTCTGAACCTGGGAAGTAGTGTCCGGG